ACATACATACATACATACATACATACATACATACATACATACATACATACATACATACATACATACATACATACATATGCTTTATATGCTTTATGTTCAAGTTGCTCTGTTTGATGTACGCAATAGGTACTGGTGATGCGATGGTTCAATCAATTCTTCTTTGACTTGACTGTTAACAAGAACTCTAAGGGCGATGAGGCTAACTGAAAGATGATACTCTTTTAGATTTCTGCTTATCTTTATTTTTCAGTCATTTCGATACGCGGCAAAGATTACAGCACAAACTATTATGAACTGTTTTTTGTTCACTTTGTGAAGCAAACTGATGTAAATGGAAGATTTGTATTGAGCAAATGTCTTTTATGAGAGTTAAACCTTTGATAATGTCGAAGAAGATGACATCATGGGTGGGAATTAGTTGGGTTTTTTTTTTTGTAGAATAAGATACGTGCTAATGTAGAGAAGATGTAGACGTAAGTTATTATTGACAAGTTTCATAGTTTCAATTACTGTTTTGCCACCCATATCGTCCCAAAGGACACATTTACTATTTTATATTACTATTATACCATCACTATATTGTCCCGACGTACAAATTAAATATTTTATACTACTATATAACCATCTCTATATTGTACCGATGGACAAGTTTAATATCTTATGTTACTTTTATACCACAGCAGTGAAGGGAGGCACTTTAGCCTCAATGGGACTTGTATGTTAATACGGGGTCTCGGCACTTTGGCCTGAACGGGAATTAAACATAGGGCAGTTTGGGACTGTTTAGCCTCATGAGGGAATGGAAGAGGGGTGATGTCACAGACACAGAGACCTATCACACAAAATAAATCGACGAATATAATTTTTAGGCAAGACAGAATAGATATCTTTTCGAGGCTCTGGAGTGGCTCTAAAAAGGGCCTTTAGGTTTTTTTTGTTTTTTTTTTAATACCAGTCAGTTAGCATAGAGGGCATCTCACTGGCCTTCTTCTATTCCTCAAACTTCGTCTGACCTCTAGACCGTAGATTAAGTCTCGTTTCCAACAGTCTTATCTCTACACATAGATCCTTCGTTTCCAAAGGGTTGTATCAATCATCTGGGTAATTTCCCATGGATGATTTGACATACAAGGGATAGTCCGGTGGAACAGTATCGATGTTAGAAGGGTAGACGAATTTACTTTAGTCCACATCTTGTGACGAGAACAGGTGAAGGGAATGAATTTAACAACGGTTAATTATAGTGGAAGAGCGGATCAAAACAGATTAAGTTCTTTCACCAATCCAAATACGCGTTACAAAATTCAGTCACAGTGCAGAGTTTATCTTCCAATTCGAAGAGAGATACATGACACGTCACATTCCCAACATATGTACGCTAGCGTCTGTGCATAGTGAATCAACGCGAAAGAGTTAAAACATGACGGAAACTAAGAAGACGAAGAATTGGGGTGAACCAGCCGTGGAGACGAGAAAGTGATGGCATAGCAGTAGCTACGAAAGCAAACACGGTCCTAGTTGCAAAAGAGAACGCTTTTAATTGAGATTTAGTGGATTTTCTCTCTTCTTCACTAGGATTTGTTCCGGTACCAGCCCCTTCACCATCTTCTTCCTTACCGTAAGTCAAGGATTTTAAACAGACAGAAAGAAGAATTAAAGAAAAATTTGCAACCATAGAAAGAAGCAGAAAAAAGATTTTTCATTCAATAGCAATACAACGAAGAAGAAGAAGAAGACGAAGAAGAAGAAGAAGAAGAAGAAGAAGAAGAAGAAGAAGAAGAAGAAGAAGAAGAAGAAGAAGAAGAAGAAGAAGAAGAAGAAGAAGAAGAAGAAGAAGAAACAATTTGTAGGGAAGAATGAGGACGGTGAAAGTCAAACGGTGATGTTACTCTTAAACATTTAGGCAGAGTTAAGGAGTCTGAAACAAATGTATCCGACTTCTTTAATACGACCCAAGAAAACAGACCTTCCCGAGCCAAACTGTCCAACTCCGTCCACACACCTACTACACCTGAGATACCATCCATAGTGATTTCTACCAAATCATCGATAGTAGCACGACCAGAAGTATTTTTTGGCAGTGGTAAAGGGATAAAGCGATTAAAGTTGATTATTTCCCGTTCCTGAGTTGGGAGGGGTTGTTGTAAAGAGAACAAACACACAACGGCGCTTTTCAGGGCCACCCACCTCTCTCTAAAAGAGACTACTCAATGTTTGAAAAAATCAATTAAAACTCAAAATCCTTTTTGTTCCCATGATGGACGTATGTGAGTGTGTGAGTGTGAGTCCTTATTCCAAAAACCAAACCCAGGAGTTCACTTAACGTTTTTCTTTCTGGTCTAAATTCTAGTACACATATTCAAACGAATGTCACAATACATCACTTTATAAAGTTCAATTCTTTTTTTATGTCTTTTTCACTCTCTACTTTTTTGAATTTATTCACTGTCACAGATTTTTCTTCTTCCTGACTTTCTTTAAGTCTTCTTTTCTTCTCCTACTTTTCTTTCTGGATGTGTCTGTGTTCTTCCTTTCCTAAGGTTACTGCTTCTCCCTATTCGGAAGCCCTATCTTCCTTCTGCTCCCGTTGTTTATTTTGGCCAAAGACCAATGCCATTTCTCTTGACAATGATAACAGATATCTTGTGTTTTGTCTCTTTTAAAGCTTCTCTTGCATTGACGATGTGGACATTCAGAAAACCCAATGTTCTTTCTTCTGACAAATATATCAGGTATCATGACTTTCATATCAAAAGGAGGGGAGTAGTCCGTCGGCTTCTCTGAAAAAAAACCCTTCGTATAACATCCACCAAAGCTATGATCAGAATTTCGATCTGTGCTGGCAAGAATGAATGGAAAAGAGCCTATAAATATTTTCGACAATCGGACCGAGACAAACAGTCTAAAAAAATCAGAACTGTTACAGCAAACCGACCTATCACTAGACACACACTGTGGCATTCCTGAAAAAGCTAAACTTGCAAGATGTCTTGTCTCCATGCTACATCTGGAAAGTCCTCGGGTCAGTTTGTATCAAGGGTGAACGAATGACAATTGCTTCCTGTAACACGCGCACAAGGAGAGAGTAGAAGAAATCAAATATTTGGACGTGCGTTCGTTGTATCCTTACGTGTGCAAATATTGTCCCTTTCTTGTGGAAAACATCGACCTGGACAACATTCGACAATACACAGGATTGATCAAGTGCAATGTCCTGCCTCCCATGGACTTGTATCATCCCGTTTTACCTTACCATTGTCAAGGAAAACTGATCTTTACCTGTACTGAAACATGCAACCAAGATTAACCATGTCATGACACTCAGGATGAACGATCATTGACATGAACGTGGGAATTGTTTAAAGCTCTGGACTTGAAATACCAACTGAAGTGCACGAAATATACCACTTCCCCAAGACAGAATTGTAGTAACAAAGGATGACGAGACTCAAAAAGGCATTTTCGAAGACTACGTGGATGCCTTTCTGAAACTGAAACAAGAAGACAGAGACTATACTTCCTAGTGCTACTCTCCCGAAGACCGAAATAAATTCAAAGAGAAATAATTGGAGCAGAAAGGCATTACTTTAGACCACGTGTAGAAAAATGAAGGAAGACGATCGTTTGCTAAAGTGATGTTGAATTACATGTGGGGCAGAATGGCACAAAGACCTTGTTTACACAAGACGGAGTATTTGTCAGATCCTTTCCGCTACTTCCAGATGTTTCACGACAAAACCAAATACATGAATCACTTAGACGTTGTTCGTGAACACTTAATCCTGGTCAATTACGCAGCAGAACTTGATTTTGTGGAGGCCAACGAATTTGGAAGTGTCATCATTGCGGCTTACGTGACAGTACACGCTCTATTAAGTTTTACGAAGCCTTAGAACTATTACGAGATCGTGCGCTGTATTTTTACACGGACATTTACATCTACATCGATCGTTTTTGTCATCGGAGATCGAAGTAGATCATTTAGGAGCCTGGTCGGACGACCCAAGATTCTAAGTTTTGTTAGTGGCGGTCATAAAAATTACAGTTACGAATAACGGGCCCAACGAGGATAAGTGCACAAAGGATTGACACTCAATTGTCCCACCATTCAAGTGGTTAACTTTGGGGGTACTGAATGAAGCCTTGCAGTCTGAACAGGATCAACATTTTTAAGCTGCCAACTACTAGCCTCACAAGATTGTACTTTTAGCCACACAACAAATCATCTGTTAGACGATAATAGATTGCTATAATCCCACAAAGCAGCCCTTTCCAGGGCTAGCCCCCAACGATCTAAAAACGATTCCAGTCAAATTGTGAAAATATTCGTCTGTCTTTGTGTGTTGGTAGGTTAAAAAAAGACGTGTGACTATTAATACGTCATTTCCTTGACTTATAAGAGAGCGTGTGTGTATAGTTTTGTTTGTATGTGTCCACGCGTACGTTTATGTGTGTATGTGTTTGTGTTTGTGTGCGTGCGCATATATATATATATATATATATATATATATATATATATATATATATATATATATATATATATATATGTTTTTTTGCGTATGTGTGCACGCCTACGTTTGTGTGTTTGTAAGAGTGTATGTTTTTTACTTAACAAAGAAACGTACCCCTAAACAGAAAAAGAATGTGTGTGTATGCACGTTTGCGTGTGTGCAAATTTGCTTGTGTGCGAACATAGGGAAAAGTGAAGGTTGAATTCTTGATGCGTTCAGTTACAAATTTCTGTAGGAATGGTTTCGTTAGGTAAGTAAACAATAACAATAGACCATAATAATTGGGGGAAATCAGATATTGGCCTAAAAATTAACGAGTCGAAAGATGTCGCTGTTTTTCGAAGGATGTACTGTTTATGTTTAAGCACATTACATATAGTTCATACATCAACTTAGATACCTGTACTCGAAAAAGTAGTGTAGTAGTGATGTACATTTTTACTGTTATCATTATGCTCGTAATCTTTTCCATCGCAACATATATTAATCGATCCAGTGGCCTTGTGGTCAGAGCGTCTGCCTCGGATGCTGAAGGTCGCGGGTTCGAACCTCGACCGATTCATATCAAAGACTTATAAAAATTGTACTAACAGCTGCCTCGCTTGGTGCTCAGCATTAAGATGTTAGTGTGCTTGACATCGATATAAACTGCCACACTGCAGACATCGTAGCGATATGACTGAAAAATTAAAAATACTTTAAAAATCCAAAATCAAACACACACACACACACACGTGTAACTTATGTACTGTTTGTTATATGAACATATTTTATACAAAGTGTTCAAAACAAGTAATATGCATGCTGATGATGATGACTACGACGATGATGATGGTTATTATTATTATTATTATTATTATTATTATTATTATTATTATTATTATTATTATTATAGACATGACCATTGTTATTATTATCTTCATTTGCAGTAATAGAAGTAGTACTATTAGTAATTTTTGTTTTAAGGTGTTATCTTTTCATGTCAATAAAAGGTTTAGTATAAGTATTAATATAAGTATTGATATCATTGTTAGCATCAATATTAAAGTTTATATTTTTAGTAATGTAGTTGTTGTTGTTGTTGTAGTAGTAGAAGTAGAAGTAGTAGTAGTAAGTAGTAGTAGTGGTAGTATTAGTAGAATTAGTAGTAGAAGTAATAGTCGTAGTAGCGGTATCGGCGAAACAAAATAATAGTGATAGTAGTCGTAGAATGCTAATATTGTTGCTTTTTAAACTTAATCATTTCATGATTGTTTTCAAATGGTTGTACTTTTCAAACAAAATGAGTAATTTACTTTAAATGTAACAATCCACTATGAACTTCACCCGACACCTTGATGAAGTTAATCACTATGAACTAGATATTGTGTTTAACACAAATGTGATCTGAAGGCCTTTAATACCAATGCAGGCGAAAGCTTTCCTCATCTCTGTTGTGAACCCTTGCAAAGTCTGACTGCCAGGCAAGTGAATCGCCATATCCTTTAAAGTAGTTTGCCATTTGGCATTTGCTCATTCTTCACTTAGTTCTCACCCATCTTTGGCATGATTTATCAGTTTATCAATCTGAAATCAAGTTTGTTAATTGGTATATTTTCCTTTTCCACAGGGTTAAAATATCAAAGCCAAACTTCAAAAGCTCTGGACTCTTTTTCAAAGCCAAACACTTCAAATTTATGCGATCTTGGAATGCAAATTCCATACAAAAACTACTAATCCCAGTAATTTAAATTGTTGACAACGTACAAAAATGCTTACTTCCGTAACTGAAGAGTTTGAGAATGGAAGTAAGAGATATATTAGAATGACTTTAACAAATCGTCACAGCGAAGTAAAAGGTTCAAATGTGTGGAACTATGTTCTTAGACCCTTAACACACATATGTGCCCGATGAATTTTCCGGCGCATGAATACCATACAGGCGTGTATAGTAAATCCACAGACTGCATATGCCTTGACATAGCGGCGACGGAGTGGAGTGCATCAATATTGAAACCGTGACAAACCTTTCTATGCAACATAACACTTTCATTGGAATTCTAAATTTGAAGTCCTTGCTAGAGGCATATGTGCTAACTGTGTTCTCAACATTGCTCTTTCAGAATGCAAAACAAGAGCCCTTCGAATGTGGCTAGTACAAAAATTACACAATGACGAGTATTCATTCAAATGGAAATTCTTTTCACCTTACTGGACTGGTTTACAACTTAGTACTTTCAAGGCTCAAAAGTACACACATACCTTACACGTATCCATATTGTGTCAAAATATGCATACAAGTGTTTAAGGATTTTCACGAAAAAAATCAAACGTTTGTTTTTTATTAGCATAGTCTACCTGTTACATATAAAGACCGTTATTTTCAAAGTCTAGATTCTAAGACTATATAAAATACATTTCCCGAACCTTTGTAAATACCTACGTAATAAATTTATAAACCATATCAACAGAGATGTGTGTTTCAAATCATAGGCGACATCTTGCCTGTAAATTATAATGTTTTCAAAAGAATTGCCAAATCTAAACTATTTGTGGTTGTATTAAAACTGTAGTCCATCTATTATTTGAATGCAAATTTGTATTACCACTACAATATTTAGTAATTAAAAGGTTGAAAAAGCTGAACTCTTTCGACACTTCCGCACTTTACTCAAACTTGGACTTTTTGCACAGTATGCTAGCTTCCCGGAAGCTGTTTTCGAGGGCCTTTGTGCCATAAAAGCTGCCAGATACAAATACGTCATCTGAATAAAACGAACTTGTTCATATTATCAAAAACAAGTGGTAAATAGGAGGATCCAACTGTCCTTCTTTCTCTCTCGTGTAAAATAGAATCAGGACTGACTTTTACCGACTCAGTCTCTTGTCATTTTATTGACAAATGGCGCTTTTGAATAATTTAGAATTACGCATGGATATCAGCCTTCAATAATTATTGCAACTGGTATATTGTACATATCCCTTTATACTTCGCCTGTCCGTTGTTTGCATATTTGCATTGTAGTTTATCGTTTCTTCAGTTGCCTGTTATTTCTCCTTTGCAGACATACCGCCGTTTACTCTCGTTTGTATTGGAAATTGTATATTGTTTACTTATATTGTATGTACTGAGTGAATGTCTGCATATATAAAATTGTAAAATGGATTAAAATACATGAAAAATCTTGAAAAAAGAAATGCATCAATAGCGTAAGGAACGAGATTAATCACTTTTTGAACGGATGAGAAGAATACTAGATCAATATCTGGCCTGTAGCTTTCCGTTGCTGAACCTAAACAAATAAATGTTCCCCTGGTGGCATTTTATCTTTCATTCTAATTAAATACTGCCAATCCGTGTCCCCTTTTTAGTTCATTTTAGTTCTTCATATGATTCATTTTTATTTCGAAAGATACCAAACTAACGATTAGATAGAACAGAAAAGCTGCATACGAAAGTTATGGATAAGAAGTATATAACGATGTCTACTTTTAAAGTAAACGAAGAAGATCAACTGGAATTCACAAGCTGGATAAAGATAATCATTAAAAGACACACACACACACAAACCCCTCCCTCCCCAAAAAACAAGGAGAGTACATCAACAAAGATGGTACATTACACGACATAACAGTAAGGATAGTACATCGCCCTACACAGTCTAGCATTACCGTCTACGATCCAACAACCAGGACTGTACATTACTGTATCTATCTTAACAATAATTAGAGTTCATTACTTTACACGGCATCACAACAGATGGGTGTGTTACTGTATACAGTCTACAAACAAGGATGTTACTTTGTTGTACACGGCTTAACAAATAAAGAAAATATAGTACTTTAATCAGCGTAACAAACAAAGATTATATCGTACATACCTAAGATCATTACGTATTTCCTTCTCTTTTAAAAAGAAAAAAATCTGTCACGTATAAGGAAGAACCAAGAAATGTTATTCCAAACTAAATGGCATTCCTGCTTTCTAAATATATGAAATAATGTTTGCATTAATATCTTTAAGAAAACTAATGCATGGATCCTACAAGGCCGTTCAATTTGCTCAGAGTCCGACAGATGCTCTTAATTTTCATATTCTGGAAAAAATCAGTAATATAAATCTGATTACAGAGACATGTTTTCCTTATTTAATGTCACGTACACATGCTATTTTTGGCCTAAAAATGCAACTTCTGACAAGATTTGTAAAACAATGATCAAAGAGAAACTGTGTATTATTGATAAATATGCAGTACCAAGCAAACCCTATGACAGTCTGATGTAATTTGTGAAATAATACCATTAACTTATATGGTAAATGATTTAACTTTCTTTTAACTTTGTCAAATAGAAAAATACATTTTGAAACTTTAAAAAAAAGTTGGTAATAGGGGTTCTACATATTTTATTTACTAAATTAGGCAAAAATGGTGTCGGTCTACAAGTTCCTATCAAAACGGGGAACGGCTACAAGTTCTCAGAACATTAGATAGGCCATTCCCCATACAAATATAGCCATGCAAGTTAATTAAAAATGACAAAAGGCAGAGAAAAACCCAAAACAAATGAAAGAACAACAACAAAAACAACATCTAAATAAGATTTGATGTAAAATGGTAGATAGGGTTCGATAAAGGAAAAATAACATCCAAGACAATTAAACAATGTTTTTTGATATACAGAGATTATGGTCTATAAATATCTAGCCAAGTAATGCAATAATAAAATAAACTAATAGTCAAATAAAAGCTGCATAAAGAAACAAAACAAGGTGAAATAACAGAACGAAACTGGAAATAAGGGTTGGTCATGAGTGGAAAGACTGCTTCTTTAAACATAAAATAAAATAATATTATGAAGGTGCTTACTCATAAGAATGAATAAAAAATAATCATACATAATATTAAAGCAGATATAATCGTTTTTAAAGATAAGAACTTATAACTATAAACTGGTATCTCGTCTTTTATGTTTTGCTGTTCAGCAAAGCGGGCGCCACAATAATTTTTTAAAACCCTAGCTTGAGCCAGTGTAAGCCGAGGTCTTTAATGTTAGGCTAACTTAATTAAAGAAAGCCCTGTCGGTATTAACGTTTCAGACCTACTTCAGCCATCAAAATGTCTTCACCTAACAGATATCAGAGCAACTGCACTGCCCAACCATTACAGAGCCTTACGTTCTTTTATCGCAGTATTCCACCAACATCCCCAACCATTCATTTCCATACTCATCCACACGGTATCGACCATCACCATCTGAGAGAGAGAGAGAGAGAGAGAGAGAGAGAGAGAGAGAGAGAGAGAGAGAGAGAGAGAGAGAGAGAGAGAGGAGTCATAACATAATAATCTGCACATGCAGTAACATGACGCGCCGTCCAGTTATCTGTGAAATCGCCAATTTAAAATTAAACTGTTGAAACATCTGACGTATAACCTGGCCCCCAGGCAGGTGGCCAGCTGTCAGAGGAGGATGCACCAAATACGGTACTGCTGGATGCGTGTGGGGTGGTGGTGGTGGTGTAAGGATTACCCATCCTGTTTGCAGATGGTTGCCGTAATGGTAAAACAGTAAAACAAAAAATCC